CTGCTGGTCCACTAAGTCTCCAGTTAGGCCACACAGACCTTGTGTCCTGTTTTGGTCCTTGGGAAGGTTGGTTACCAGGAATCTGGTGGGGGGGACGGAGTCTAACCTGTACCCCCCCCCCCCTTTCTATCAGGTCCAGAATATAGGGGTTCGGGGAGATTGAAGCCCACTGAGGGAGAAGGGCGTCTCAGTGGGAGGAAGACTGGGGACCTTAGCCATTGAGGCTTGGAGGGGCCTTGAGGAGGATTGAATAGAATCCCCTCTTTCCCCTGAATCATCAGAGGGGTGAGAATAAAATTATATATTTTAATTTTTTTTTTTTTTTTTGGCAAGTGACCACGTTGCATTAATTAAAATAAAACAAAAACGTTTCATTTAGTGTGATCATATGGTACTTGGCAGTACCATGCTGTCTGGAATCATACTGGTCACAACATTACTATTCTGTGTTCTCTGTTCTCATGCTCTTTGGGACCATAACATGTATGGGGACCATCCCCTGCAGCCCAGCATTGATGGATTCACTCTGTTTGTGTGTGTGTGTGTGTGTGTGTGTGTGTGTGTGTCAGTACACAACTGTGTACAGTAGTGCACTGCATTATAAAAAAAAAAAACATGCCCCTTATTTTGTTAGGCAGCCCTTTCCAGTGATTGAGTTTCCCTAATGCAATTCGTATTAATGGGCTGCATGGTTCCCTTTAACACTCTGCAAAACTGTGAACCCAGCCTTAAATTTCATATATTCTTTATCGCGTTAATGTCATTTTGAAAGGGAATTTCAGACTTTAAAGTCTGCAGCTTTCATTAAAAAGTATTTTAACTTGCTCAAGGTTCTTGGGGAACTGGATGACTGTGCTCTGTTTTGTGTCACTTGTGCTCCTGTGTTGTCATGTTAACATGTGGGGACCATAAGCCGCTATGAGGACTCTCATTTCATAGGGATGGTCCACTGTTGTCACCTTGAGAGAGCCTGCCCGGGCCAATGATGTTCAGGTGTTCCTGCAATTTGCATGTAGTTCAGCAGTAAGTTGTCTGTATTGGCTTGCGTTTTTATATTGGAAAAATCATTGTCCCATTTGACAGTATTATAAATGAGCACATCTGTGTAATTAGTGAGGCTGTGTTTGCGGTAGCAGCTGTGTCCTCGGTTTGTACATTGATTTTTCAGTATGCTTCGGGGGCTTCCATGATACGGCAGAGCTCGAAGGATTGCCAAGGAACACACAGTCAAGTCTTAACTGCCAAGAATGTTCCGGTCAATTCTTTGGTAATGGTTTGCCTTGTATAAGAGTTTCCTAGTTGGTGTTTCCCTTCTTGGCATCTTGTGGAAACCCATACTTCTGATTAAATGTGCCACCACAGTAAAAAAGTAATTGGTGAATTAGTTATTCTACTGGAAAATATCTAGAAATCTAAAACATGTGTTTTTTATTGCCCACACATGAAATACTAAACCTATTGTGGTCCCTGTACTTGGGATGTATTTGGGGGGGGGGGGGGGGGAGGGGGGTTAGGGGCATGTCCTATTTCCAGCTCTTCTATTGATTGGCTACACCATAGTGACAGAATCGCTAAAATTCAGCTGCCACTTTCCCTATGGATGGCACTCCTTTTATTGGGTAAAACCTGTGTAATCTTGAGGGAGTAGGACCAAATAAACACCTCACTGATTTGTATGAGGGAGGCAGGAAATCCATACCTTCTCCCCAGAATATTATGGCCAATATTTGGGGGGGGGTTGGGGCATACACAACTCCCGGTGATCTTTAGGCATTTTGCACATGAGCTTAATTTTTTTTTTTTTTTTTTTTTTTTTTTTTTTTTTTTTTTTTTTTTTTTTGTTCTGTTAAAAAAAGCTAAAAACTGCAAACGTGAAAAATCATGGCTGAACGCTGAAAAACTCAAGGTTTTTTAACGTGACTTTTCACAGCTAACGAGTTATTAAAACACCCCGTGTGCATGGAGCCTTTGAATTAAGATGCTCAGACAAGAGATCTGCTGGCTAAATGTAGCCTGTAGACCTAGCAGGGCTATGGGTACATTGAACCTGGCCAATTAGTACTTCTAATTAGCAGTGGCTGCTATCGCTGCTTTGTACATACTGCTGGCCATGACTGTTGGTCCACACCTACCAGCAAGGAGATTTGCTGACTTGTGCCAGAGGCTGCCCTAGGTTGCCCGTCTGAATGAGCCCTAAAGTAACCTCTACCTCCTGTCTGGGCTAGCAATGACAGCCAGAGATCTGATGGTTTGTTTTAAAAGTTTCTCCAGCTTTGGTGAGACTGGGGAAGATTTACTAAAACTGGTGCAGCTGTGTTTGATAGCCAATCGGCTTCTAACTTCAGCTTGTTCAGTTAAAGGATAAATTTACCTTTCAACAAAAAATATTAAATGCACTTTTTTTTTTTTTTTTTTTTTTACCTGCAAAAATAAAAAAATGTGCATTTTATTTTTTGTTTATGAAGCCTCTAAAGGCTGACCTGTCAATATATCTGCTTGATCGTACATCCCCTACAAGGAAGCAGATACTGGCAGGAAGGCTATATGAACTACCACGGAGCTGTGGGATGCCATGGTAGTTAATTGAAAACGACAAGCCGACAGCCGCAAAGGCTGCCGGGACTTGCAGTGGTCCCATTCACAGAATGCCGTGAATGAATGTCTCGTTTGTGCTCCTGTGTTGTCAAGTTTTCTTTAAATTGTGACAGCTAGCAAGCAGGGAGGAAATCCCCCGGACACCCCAATCTACTTGACAGGACACCATGCATGAGCAATCCCTAACAGTTCAAGCTGAAAAAACAGATTTTCTAAAACCAATCATTTTGGCTTATTCTCTTAAACAAATGGTCGGACTCCCAGTCTCCCCTCAAAGCTTGTACCTTGGCAGGTGGGAATTGTACTAGTGTCCTTTTTTAGTTTTATATCTAAAGTTTTTTTTTTTTTTTTTTTTTGTAGGGCAATTACTTCCGATAAGCCCGTGCCAAATGACAGGCTGTAATATCAAAGGACCATTTCCTCGAAATATCTGTTGAGGTGCTAGCTGACAAGTGTAGAGCACATATTTTATTTCAGATGATTTATATAGTTTAACAAATCATATTTTGCAGTGGATGTGAATTGGAGCTTGTGCCTTTTCCAGGCAGCGATAATGGAATGTACATGGCTGATTATCCTTCTCCCTCCCCTGGCCATCTGTCATAGGGAGATTTGTGGATGTCATCAGTTTTATTAGAACTTCTGCAGAAACTTTTTTTTTTTTTTTTCATTGGATTCATTAGCAAATGTAAAATCTCAAACTGGCTTTGTTGGCTATAGTCCAGTTTCCAGTGCAGGACAAATGCCAGTCGACCAAAATCAACATCTGACTGACAAGATGACACGGTGCGTGCCCGCTGATCAGGACCCCTCCCTCCCAGCTAGTTTAGTGGTACTTCATTTTGCAGCTCCCACTATTCTACCTGGCCGGCCTGTATAAGTGCAGCTCATGCTCCTTCCACTGCCTCATCCTGCTGTCAGCAAGGTCAGTTTATAGGGGACTAGGAGCTGTATGGGGAGGAAGGTCATGGCTCCTGTCGGCGGCGTTATCCCTTCTAGGAAAGCAGGGGTATAATGAGGGGGGATGGGAGGCTTTATGATTCATTACTGCTATGGCTAGTCATAGTGACTATCTTTAAACATTATACCACCAGTGATACCTATTAGAGAAAGGGATTAAAGTGTGCGTGCGTGCGTGCGTGTGTGTGTGTGTGTGTCTGCTGTGTGGGGGAAGGAGAAGCTGTTCATGTGTCTGCTGTGGGTGGATAAGACTTGCATACATCAAGTCATGCTGCATTGTTCCTGGCTTCTAGATATTGGGAATACATATATAGTTCTTATTTCACCCATCTGCTATACGCATTATAAAGTCGAATGACAGCCAGAACTTGACAGTTAACAATTTCTTGAATGGCATATGTCCGAAATGGGCAGCTCTAGGACCTGACATTGGTAAAACTGCATTCACACATGGGAGTTTTGAATCTTGGGCAGAATCGCTGCGATTTCAAAGCACTGCTAAAATGAAAATCGCGGAACCACATGTTCAGGTGTTACCACTTTAATGGCATCTGGAAACACGGTATGTTCCTGCTGTTGAGAAATCGCTCTGCAGTTGGGGCGAATCGCATCACTTGAAGCGTGTCATCCATCAAAGGTTCCTGAACTTGTTTTGGGTGACATGCTTTGCATGATACGATTTGCCCCAATTTCAGCACAATTTATCGCGTGACAATCATGGCAGAACCGCACCGTGCTTTCAGGTGCCGTTAAGGGTCTGTTCACACTAGAATGCAGTGTGGGAGAGCCGCAGTTCTACGGGGCTTCCTGCACCACATTCTGATCACAATGCCCTTGCAATCTTCTGCGGGGGGAAGTTTGCACTTTTCATGTTAAATACATTTTAATTACAGATAGTAATTCAACAAAACAGGTACCCCACCAAGGGAACAAGAGAAGTGCTAATTATAGATTCAAAAAACATGCAATGCTCCAGTAAAACATTTTTTTTCTAAGTTATAACTTCCTGTGTTTTCTTATTGGTTACTTTGTTCCCTGCTATTAGTGTGGACTACACAACAACCCTGTGCCCCCCTCATGTTATTGGGAAAGGAAGATGGGGGCATTTTCTGTAGTCCTATCCTAGGGTGACAGAACCATAGACATAGTACAGTGAGTGCTGTCAGCCTACGACAGGAGGTGTGTTACTGGCAGGATCACAAGTCATGATAAAGGCAGATGGAAAAGCCAGAGCAAGTTTAAAAAAAAAAAAAAAAAAAGTTTAAGGACTTGTCAGATACAATGTACTACATTTTTGTTTGGTTTTACGCTTTTATATTTGTGGTAGACTTTTTTTTTTTTTTTCTGCAGTTGTGAGATTTTTCTGCACGTAACCCAGGTAATTGAATTCCGTTTGAGATTTTTGCAAAAGCAAGCAACTAATCTTTTGTTTCTTTTATTCCTAATAGATGCTTTGGCAGACAATAAAGTGGAACACAGACTGAATGGGAATGTTGTGCAAAACAACTTGGTAGAAATTCATGAAGATGGTTCTCAACTCAACATGCGAGGAGTTTTTCTTACATGTTCTTGGAGATGCATTGGGTTCTGTTATTGTGGTCGTCAATGCTTTAATATTTTATATGGTTTTTAACCCCTGTCCGCCCAATGGGCAATGCTACAACCCTTGTGTGCACGACCACTGCGATGACCATCCAGATTTGAATCACACCTCAGCATCACTCAACGATAGTGCAGAACACCCACAGGTTACGATCGCTGGACCTTGTTGGGTCCTGTACCTTGATCCTTCTTTGTGTGTGATCATGGTGTGTATATTGTTGTACACAACCTATCCACTCCTCAAAGAGTCTGCTCTTATCCTTCTACAAACAGTCCCTAAACAAATTGACATCTCCTCCCTGAAACAAAAGCTCAAAAACCTGGAGGGTGTGGAAGCTGTCCATGAGCTGCACGTTTGGCAGTTGGCTGAAAGCCGAATCATTGCCACCGCTCATATAAAATGCCACGATCCCACTGCTTACATGGATGTGGCCAAGCGGATTAAGGACTTCTTCCATGATGAAGGAATCCATGCCACAACCATCCAGCCGGAATTTTCCAGCGTAGAGTCTGGTTCTAGAATATCCCTTTGTGAACTCTCTTGTAGAACTCAGTGCGCTCCCAAACAGTGCTGCGGCAACCCGGAAAAGAACATGGCGGCACGAAAGTCCAGCAGTGGAGCAGCTATCTTGGGAATGATCAGCGAATCTCCTGAGCACAAAACCAAGAGGACTTTGGCTTCTGAGAAGCCTGTTGATGAACTTAAAATAGATGTAGACACTGCTATCTGAACAGCTTTTGCCAATTTAAACCAATGGCTACAGCCAGGGGAAGACACAAAGGGAAGTATGGTTTCTTCAAATGACAGGCTTCCCACAACTGCAGTTTGGCAATATTGATCTATTGGCACGACTGTACACATAGACTAGTTTTTTTTTTTTTTTTTTTTTTTTTTTTTCTTTTCATTTGCTTTTTGTTCACACTATGTGTTGTCATAACAACAGTTGCAGTGTTTTGATTATATAAATATAAGAAATGTCAATGTTACATTTTATTTTTACTTTTTCATCCAGGACATTTGCAATGCTAAAATCCTCCTAGCTATGGCTGTGTCATTATGTATTTTTATTTCTTGGGATTTCCACCTTCAGATGACTTTTTTTTTTTTTTTTTTTTTTTTTTTTCTGTGATGTGCCACAAAAAAAAAAAAAAATGGTACATTTCCACAGCAGTACATGCACATTACCTCTGCTGTAATTAACACATTCCAGTGAACTCCTACCTTCCTGCGTTGAAAGACAGTGCTGTCTTTTCTGCACTGAAATCCCAAGTAGTATTGTCAAACCTGCCTGAGCTCTTCTCTGCAGGACTACAGAACACCTTCCCCTCTGCTCTCCATAAGAGTGGAATTGTGTAGTTCTGAAGTCTTCAGTGCAACAGAAGTAGCATTATCAGCCAACGACAGGAAGTTAGGTGTTCAGTGGCTTTCTGGAAGATCAGTAGGTTTTTTTGTTTTTTTTCTTGCAGTGTTTGGAAAGAAAAAAAAAATGGGGGGAAATGTGCATGATTTACTGAAGGGTTTGTGTGTGTTGTTTTTTTACATTTTGACTTGACACACAGTTGCACTACATATTGTCTATCCTTATCTGATTGTCTCCTTTGCCATGTGATGCCACAACTTTTGCTCGCCGAATAATAAGGAACACTACAGGGAAAGCACAGCAGATTGGGTCGTCCCAGGTAGCAAAATTAAATACTTCGGCTTGAGTAAGGTGCATGGCCTGGAAAGCACAGGTCAAATCAAGAAAGGGAGCAATGGGGCAGATGTTAAAAGGCAGTCAAAACCTTTTTTTTTTTTTTTTTTTTCTTCTTTCTTCTTTTTTCCCCCTAGGTCTCTGTAACCAATTGAAATCTTTATTCTTGTTCTGGACTGTAGAAATAACACTTGGAGACTGATCAAATGCCATGAATTATTTTATTTATTTTTGCTTTTTACATCCGTCACAATGTGTTGTCAAAGGTCCAGGACTGTGTGTACATGGCAATACATTTCCTCTGAAGGTGAAACCCTGTAATAACTCCTCTTTGTATTTATAATTGAATTTCAGGTGAATTTGCTAATGACACAGTTGTAATGCGTGTAAGTGAACTGTTTTACTGATTGGGAATTCTGTGAAGCCAGTCATGTGCTGCACCCCCTTCCCCCTCTTCCTCAGCAGCAGTCAGGAAGGTACGTGATGATTCCTGGCTCATATTTACAGATTGCTCTGTAGTCTGCCTGCTCATTGCACAATGAATCAGTGGGCAAGCTGGAGGAGGAGAGTTCACGTGGGGGGGGGGGAGTACTTGCACAGCTATCGCAAGAATGGCTGAGCAGAATCTTGGAAAGGCCCCAATATAAATGCATTTCAACTGTATGTTTAGCCGTTTGCCTGTAGTTCCCTTTTTAGACCTCTTGTCAGACTGTTGTCTCTTGTCTGGAGATTGAGGAGCTTTTAAATCCCAGATCATTCCTTTTGTCTTGGGGATGAGGGATGCTCATCACGTTGGTAGCACTTTTGCAATATCCACAAGCTAATGTTTCCCTCGGACTCCGAAAACTCCATATAGCTTGTGGACATGGCAGCATCTGGGAAAACAGAACTTTTCTTATCTCCTGCAAAGATATATCCCAAATTTAAAAAAGCAAGTGGCTCTAAATGGAAATGTACACCTAATTTATGCAATAATAATTCCTATTTATTGCACTTTTACTTAATGTACTGCAAGCTGTGGGTTTTTTTTTTTTTTTGTTTTTTTTGCACATTGGTACTGGGTTGTGTTTTCCACAGTACAATATAGTTTTTAAAATCCTTTGTGAGCAATGTAAATGTCCTGGTTTAGAATTGTTCGTGCTAAGCAAGGCTGTTGAGATGACCAAACTGCAAATGCACACTGAGGTAAGAACCCTCTAAGAAGACATCAGTGTGATGGATGGATGGAATATAGGGTTCCAATGACTCAATTGTGCTTGGAAGTCTTGTTCCAAGCGCATTTGAAATGAATTGCCTTGCCTTGTTCCTCTCTCAGCATGGGTGTTTGAATATCTCGGATGCACCATTAACAGTATAAGCAGTGTCAGGCATTTTGTTGTCTTCTCCAGTGCTGGCAAATTGCTTAGAATTCAGCAATAACTGTGAATGCAATGAAACGTTTTCCAGTGCTGTGACATGACAGTGCATGTCATTGGCAGACATTTTAAAGCACTGCTAGTGTGAATGGTGCCCTCTGGGTCTGACATCTAGTGGAGACGTAGGGTAATGCAATGTGATCGTGGTATCTCTTGGCAAATATGTGGTTAAGATTGCAAAAGCCTAGCCAAAGGTGTTTTTTGTTTTTAATTGGGGGGGGGCGGCATGCATTAATGCTGCTGTTAAGTATTCATACCAGTCTTTCTATTGGCTAGACATCTGCTTTAATATATTTGCCCCACCTCCATTTAGTAGACTGGTTGTGGTTGGGTTTTTTTTTTTTTGTTTTTTTTTTCTTCTTATAGGGTTGTATTAGTGCATCACCAGTGCAGGTTTAAATTCTAGTTTCAACTTTTCAGGAAAAGGGGCCTCAGTAGGGAGAAAAAAAATATAAAAAATGTTGACTATTGTAATTGCTATACTTTTGTAAGCCAGGTGCACCAACCGCCAAAGTCTGGCCAAAAACTCCTCATAGCTGGCATTCCCTCATCCTGCCTTGTTGCTGGCATGCTCCAACTGTTGAGTGCTCATCCTCAGTATTACAGGAGCAAATTCTCTCCCTCGTTCAAAACCCAGTGCATGGGTTCTCCCTGTCGCAACAAACACTGAGCTCATTTGCTGTTGTGATGGGGGGGGGTGGAGAGAGTGCACCTTGCGTGCGCAGGGTTTGGAAGGAAGGAGGATGTTCAGTTCTGTGAATTGGGGGGGGGGGAGAGAGTTCCCAGGGGCAGGTGTCCTAGGCTTTGGAGGGGGTGGGGGGGTTAGAGCAACTTAGGCAACATTTTTGAAAGCTGCACCCCTTCATTCCTCCTTTCCTTTTTTTTTTTTTTTTTTTTTTTTTTTTTTTTTAATTATAGCCTACTGGGTCCCTCTGGCAATTTTCTTGAAACTGAGTTTGGCCTTTAAATTTTAAAGTCACATTGTTTTGAATGTAAACCAAACCAGAACATGGTTAAGGCATGTAATACTGTGTGACCTGATCTGTACTGGTGCAATGCGATCATTTTGGCACGCTTTGAGGCTGTCAGAATAGGAGCTCTCTGCATGCATTTTTATACAATATTCATGTGGTCACACACCACTCAAAGCACTGCATACTGCCTTTCTCTGTTGTTGTCTGGGCTACTTGCAGTTGGCCATCATTCCTGGTGTGGGTTTTTTTTTTTTTTGTTTTTTTTTGTTTTTCTTTCCTATTTTTTCTCTGAGATACTAAAGAGAGAACCTGATTTGTTAAAAGGTAATGGCTCCAGTGTTTATTAATGGGCACCACTGACTTCCTCTCTGCTGTATTCAGGTGTCTTATTCTGCTTTAAGTCTAAAGTTCATGAATGTAAGCGACTATTGTCACGTCATCAGCACACTGTGTATTGAATGCACATCTTTTCAGAAGAATTTACAATTGTAATTGTCTTTTTGCAGCCTTTTTGGATATACCATTTTATAAACTACTTGAATGCAATCTTCCTTGAGTAGTTGCTGCATAAATCAACAGAATGAGTAGCCTAGTTTTTAAGAATAATCTCTTGCAGACTTGTGTGAGCTATTTGGGGAATGTCGTCTTGCCTGTTCTTTGCATTTGGCTGTACTTTATATAGCTTATTTATGTATGTAATATTTTACTAATATGACAGTCCCTTTCTGCACACCTCACATATTCCCCCTGCCCTACAAGCCTATTGTTCATGTGTGACATGATCAAAGTTCTGTGTGTAGCCATTATGGCCCATAACACTTGTAATTGCAGACATTTTCAGGACCAATTAAACATGGGAAGAGCCTACGGCGTTGTGTTTCTATTTTCTGGTAGTTTGGTGTAATTAACTGGGAAATGTACCTATATGTAGTGTGTTCAAGCGAAGCA